TGTATCGTGATATGTTGAAAAATTAGTTGCTGTCATTCTCTACTTACCAATGCATCAGGCTTCAGGATGGAGAACAAAAACAGATCCACAAACCCAGAGTAATGATACGAGGATGGTTTTTCCCGTCAAGGGAAATCGGTTCAAGCGGTTCACTAATGAATGAATTGTTTCCAAGCGGCGAGCGCAGCTCGCTGGAGAATGTCTTTATATCCGTTTTCAATCTACTGTATAGCATACATAAAGTAAATAGCTTAAATAAACACGTATTCAATCGTCGTCAAGCTAAGATATGATTCGGCATACCAAGTCAATAATAAGCACGGTGTCGCTCTCCACGAGGGCGAGATGGAACATTTGTTTGAATGTTGTTCCAGGGAATCGATGTGAGTCGATCTCTGATAGAGGGATATTGATGTACTTGGGTATTGTTCGAGTTGGGTGTCATTAACCAGAATTGTGTCAGGGCAGGAAACTTGAATCTGTTCACCAAATCGCGGAGATCCCATTTTGCATGCAATCGCATAGTTGTCAGCAGTTCCATTACAGTTCGATCTTGGGATCCGAGACTCCTCCAAACCAAGTGATCGTTGGCCAAGGTAAGCCTTGGTATCTCCTCCAACTCCTTCAACTTCTCCCCAGGGCAAAGAATATAATTGACATGGAAGTGCAAAAGTGATTTCCTGAACTCGTATAAGAGACATGCACAGTCGCTCTTGGTGATTTCGCACTGGAGGGTGAGTGAGCTCAAGGGTAGTTGCGCTGGATCATGGAGGCCGGCGTTGAACATGAGAGGTAACTGGTTACGATGGCTTTCCCAAGTCACGATGTGCACACCCGAAAAGTAAAAAGCAATGTCTGGGTTGTCTTGCGTGGGGATCGCAGGGAACTTTTTCTGTAGTTGGACAACGAGGTTGGCGGATTGAGGTGAGGGGACAGTTGCTTTGCTGCGCAACCTCTCTAACCACGGTCCAAAGTCTGACAGATTTCCTGCGTTCCAGTCGACGGACTCAGATACGCTCACTCGAATAGTGTCTATGGAGAAATGGGGTGTGGATTGCGAATAGAGCTGTTTCAGACTAAGACACTCTTTTTGCTCAGGGGATGTCGAGTCGTTTGCCTTCGCTTGAAGGGTCAAGTTGATGTCGTTGGACTCTCCTAAAGTCATGATAATCTCCGAGTCATCTGGCTTCGATGGAAGGGTCGAGTTGACGTTGTTGGCCACGCCTGTAGGGATTTCATCCAGTCGCTCCGATTGAACGTCCAATTCGTTCTCGTTCAATTCTCCATGTCCTGCACCAGAAGTGATGATAGCCTTGGTCTTTGGTGTTATGGAGAAGTTGTACAATCGCCATGCGCAGTAAGCAGTGGTTAGTGTTGCTCCGAGGCCGATGGCTGCTACGAATGGCAGGCTTGTGTGCTTTGTAAACATCTAGCTCGCCAAAGTGAGTAGTTGAAGTTCATGTGGCTGAGGTCGGAATGAAGAAGACAGACATACTGGATGGCAACTGCTTCAGAACTAGTAAGGAGAATTGGATGATTCGGTAAGGATGATTGGTTTTCCTTAAAAAATTCAAAGTTATAAAGGCTAACTTCGAACAACATGTCCCAAATCAGGAAGCGTGCCTTATGATATCCTTCTGGCTGAAAAAGTGGACCCACAGGATCATATACCCGGGAGGGAAAACTCTTGTTCATCCAGTGGCATGTTTACATTTAACTCCGACAGAACAATGCATCCAAACGCAGGAATGTTGTATTCGCGTTGCCCTCCCTGATTGAAATAAGATGGGTAGATTGCTGTTGGACACACATATCGGTCAAAGCTTATTGTCAGTTGCTTTTTTGTTCCTATCAAAGCAAGACTCGTGAGAGATGGAAACGCCAAAGGACTGAGCGGAATCCAGGATTTACATAGCTGATCACGGTGGCCTCGCCGCTGCAGGCGAATTTCCTTGAATAGATCAAGGAGGAGGGGAGATTCCAGTTTGTCATCGTACAAAGAGTGTGGCCGGTGAAGGCAATCTCCTCGACAGTGGTGTAGCATCGGTCAACTTGATGGTGATAGGGCAAAGTGGGGATCCCGAGGGCCAGTCAGCTGTAATTCTCATAGTAATTGCCCGAGGCATCGCCGCTCAGTACAAGCTGATCCTCCTCCGACTGCGAATGTTGGGGAGCCTCCTTGAAGAGCCACTCATACTCTGATACTTTGTCGCGTCTGCATAGCCATTATGAGATGAAGAATAGAGTTTAGCCTAGGGGAGGGAATGGACGAACACACGACGAAAGATTTCCAAAGCCATGATGGAATCGTATCGGGGACTTTGCTTCAAACGTATTAAGCACGTCGGTGTGATCTCTGCTAGGAGAGTAGAAAACGTCGCGTTGTGAAGTCAGATGTGGACTCATTTTATGGTCTTGAGCGGCACGCTACATCGTTTACCACACGTCAGAAACCAAAAAAAAAGGTCAAAATCATAGGCGTTGGACGTCATCGTCATGGAGAGCAATTTAGCAATATGACGGGGGAAAGGCAAAAGCAAAATGATGACATCAGCGCTCATGCATCATGCGTTCGTGTGTTAGTCGAGGTCACTTCCAACTTCCGCCAGCCTTTTTGGCTTTCTCTCGTGTCATCATGCAAGAAGTGACTTTTATATGCGGTGAGACGGCTGACCTGTTCGGAGTAGACCTTATTACAATCTCCACGCGCCGCATTGGAATGTCACACTGGGCATACTATACTACTGAAATACCAAATATCATTGCACGAAGTACAATAAGCCACCGTAGTCAGAACGCAATGCTACGCCGGTCAGAAAGTACGGTCGCCAAGCCACTTCTTCGCGCCATCCTAAAAGACTCCGATAATGGTCTCCTTCCTGTGAACCAATGCCTCCCCGTGTCAACTCACATGGCAGGATTTGTGTAATGTTCATCTTCCTCCTCGAATCCAGGACCAAGGTCCGATCTCTCTACATAATACGCACAACAACACAATTTCTTCGTTCCCATCCAAGCACTGTCTAACCATCAACGCCCGAAGGAGGCTATAAGCAGATATAGATTCGAACCGTAATCGTTCCAATCCATAGCGCAAAACTCAGAAATCGATTTCATATGGACCTTCTTCGTCTGAATCGTCATCATTCCGTCTTAGAGGTCCCATATTGCCAGGCCTCCGAGTGAAGAATGAGCTTTGTGGCGGGAGTGCATTTCGGATCCACGCTCCATCCTCTATCGTCGTCCAACAATGAAGGCCGCCGGCGTCTTCAACATTTGTCCAGATATCCAGGCCGTCAAATGTACCAATGGTTGGATACCTGAGATCAAACTCGACGTGTTGTAAGGAAGGAAAAGTGAATTGAAGCAAGAGAGGACCGATGTCGTCGTTCGACCACAAGGTTAGAGACTCAAGCTCAGGTCGCTCAACGTGCGTGCTACGCGGACTAAACGGAAGCCTTGGCTCTTTGGACAGTTCTTTGTCAATGTATTCGACTGTGAGCGTTGTTAAGCGGTCGAAATGGAAAAGAATGTGGGCGCAATCTTGTATGGATATTCGAGAGGCCACCTTGAGACTTGTGAGAGACGGAAAAACCAAAGGACTCATCGGAATCCAGAATTTACATAGCTGATCGCGGTAGCCCATCCAGCGCAGTTGACGAATGTCCTTGAATAGATCTAATGGGATAGGAGGACTTGGATCCTGTTTGTCATCGTACGAGAGGTCAACCTCCGGGAGAAATATGTGAAGATTAGCTTTGCCTATCAAGGAAAATCCCTTGAGGGCGGCCATCAGCGTGGCCCGCGAAGCCAATCTCCTCGATAGGGGTAGAGCGACGTTCAACTTCAAGTTGTCAGTGATGGGGCAGGTTAGGCATCCGGAAGGCCAGTCCATTTTAATTTCTAAAGTATCAGGTAAGGTTTTGATGTTCAGTGCAAGCTCCTCCAACTGCTGATCCTCAGGAATATCCTGGTAGAGCCATCTATATTTCGATACCTTGTTACGTCTGCATGGACATGAGATGAAGAATACGGTCTACGGGAGGGAACAGACGAACACAAGGCTAAATAGTTCCAAAGACATGATGGATTAGGATCGAGGACTTTTCTTGAGGGGCGTGAAGCACGCAATCTGCGCTAGGAGACTGGACAACTTTATGAAACCAGATGTGGATAGAAAGATGGAAGGCCCCCCATTTTATGGCTTTGGGAGGCACGTAACAGTTCCTTTTGTTACCACTTGTCAAAAATTAGGCCTATGGTTTCAGGAAGACAATAGCTTGAAAGTACATGCTTTCGACAGGACGGAGAGCAACTTGATAACATGATACTTAAGCACAGACAAAAGGACAATGATCATCAATCCGTCATCGATCAGTTACAGTTTCCGCCAGCTTGTTGGCGTTTTTCTCACCTTGGTTACGCATGGATGAGCGAGACAATAGTACAACTCGTGTTTTCCAAGCCGGTGGCATGTGAAATAGTCAGGCGCGAGCCAGCGAGGTGGCACTCACCCAGCTCATTGCACGAATTTGAACTCGTGTCCTTTAACAATGTTGTCGTTTGAAACAAGTAGGATACACGGCTGTAAGGACCTATGATACGCATCATCAGATCGAGGCCGCGACATTTCCAATCCGAAGTGCAAAAGTTAGAAAACGATATCATACGATCTTCGTCGGGATCATAATCCTCTCTAAAACATCTTAGATATCCTTGCGCCGGTGTTTCCAATGTGCTCTGCGGCTGGAGTGAATTTCGGATCCACTCTACATCCTCTTTCGTCGCGTAACCGTCAACGCAACCGGTTTGAATATTTGGCCAGATATCGAGGCCGTCAAATATGCCAATGGTGGGATACCGGAGGTTAAGAACGATACGTTGCAAAGAAGGAAACGTGAATTGTTGAAAGAGAGGACCGAAGGGGGCGTGGTGTAGCATCGGTCACGTGTACAAAAATGGAGCATGACTGCTAAATCTTAAGACCACTTTCCAACGTAGCCCGCCTAGCTCAATCGGCCAGAGCGTCAGACTTTTACGGAGGGCTTTCCCACGGGCATCTGAAGGCTGCGAGTTCGACCCTCGCGGTGGGCTATAATGCATCCGGCACTCCAGTTTTTAAAGTTATCGAACTCGAACTCTACTTTTTTTGCAGAAATGCACGTTTCAGTTTGTAGTACGTGAGCAGAATAATTAGTGGCTACTTACCTGTTGTTGGAGAATCGGAGCATAATGATAAGGTTAGGGTTTTGCCTACATTTGGCTCTGAACGTCATTATCAAACTCATCACTTCTCACCTTGTGCTTTCGACTTGTATGCTAAACTTTCTGCGGCCAGCCCGCACTATCCGACGAGCACTGCAACGCGCCAGACTCTACGCCACCGAGGCTATAATCTCCGCAGAAGCCAACGCGAAACCTTCGATATATGGCCAGCCGTTATTCCAGTCTCATCATCATCTATGTACGCCGAAAGAGTGCTCTTTAACGTAGTCTGACCAGTCATGCAGTGAAACCACATGAACTTACTCCAGGAATACCTGCAGAGGACTATGAACGGCGCAGGCGCGCTCTCATGGAGAGTCTTCCGGACAACAGTTTGGTCGTGTGCATAGCTGCACCAATAAAGTATATGAGCAAGAGTACGTTCATTGAAGTTGTTTGCATTTCGAGATGCTAACATCTATCTTATAGATATATTGTAAGTGGGACTCAGAAAGCGATTCGTCTTCATGATACTCATCTCAAATTCACGCCGTTAGCTACAAGTATCGGCAAGCCTCGGACTTTTGGTACTTGACAGGATTTGAAGAACCTGACTCTGCAGTCATCTTAGGTACGCGCGAGAATTTCGTGCCATTCCGTTTATTTGGGCTCATTCTTACCAGAGAAGGCCTCAAATTCCAGGGGCTACCGAATGACGCTGTTCTGTAGTGGAAAGGATGCTGAAAAGGAGAAATGGGATGGTGCAAAGTGAGCTATTCATCATACTTTCTTCTTCATAACTCTATAGCTTTGATTGCAGAACTAGCTTTGACGACGCTGCTGAAATATTTCGCGCCGATGAAGCTCAGTCAATCGACTACTTTTCGTCTACCCTCAAATCAGCCACGGCCCTCAGTACGCATGTTTATGTAGACATTCCTCCTACACACACACGTCGTGGCCCACGAGGAACAAGCAAGTCGATACTCAAACACTTGTCGCCGCCAGTAGAAGCACGATCGGACTACGATGTCATCATAGACTCGCTTTCCAAGAAACGCCTCCCACTCGCACCGGAAGTGGCGAGGCTCCGGTCTATCAAAAGTCTCGCCGAACAGCGCGTTATGAGGGCCGCGGCGGATATCAGTGGTCGCGCCCACGCGAAGGTATGAAGATCACAATCAACATATGAAGTTGAGCTCATGGATAGTATAGACTATGCGCTTTACGCGCCCTGGGATCTCAGAAGCAGCTCTGGCAGCACACTTCGAATACTTGTGCGCCATGTCGGGTGCTCAACGGCCCGCATATGTCCCTGTGGTTGCCTCTGGGTATGTCTTAGTTGTACCGTTTCTTCCCAGGCTCTCAAACATCCTTCAAAGGCCGAATGCTCTCATCATTCACTATACATCAAATAATCATCTTGTTCGAGAAGGCGAAACAATTCTCGTTGATGCTGGATGTGAATACAAGTACGCATGTATGCGCTGTCATCCAATTCTCAAGCGCTGACTTTTTGGCTTCACGAATAGTGGATATGCATCCGACATCAGTATGTGCTATCCCTATTCTATCTGAACCTTTCTGATATACTTTTCGCATTGCTAGCACGGACATACCCCGCCTCAGGAACGTTCTCAGAGCCCCAGCGCGATCTCTACGCCGCCGTGCTCTCTGCCCAAAAACAACTTGTGGCGAAATGCCATGAAAGTGCGCGGCTCAGCCTCCACGATCTGCATCGAGAGTCCTGCGAGCTGTTACGGCAGGAGCTTTCGCAGCTGGGATTCGATCTGAAAGGCCACGATCTCGAAAACGTGTTATATCCGCATTTCTTGAGTCACCCCATTGGCATAGGTTCGTTTAGTGCTTTGAGCCTATGTGTGGCCGATGTGTATGTGGTCTGACCCGTGTGTTTTCGTTTAGATCTTCACGAGTCAACCAACTTTGATCGTAGCGGAGTGTGAGTACTTGATTTGTCTGCAACTGCAATATTGGATGAATCTGCAACTCTTTTCAGCCTGAAGGAGGGTATGGTGGTCACTGTTGAGCCAGGTATGTCTTACGTTTTCTTTAGAATGAACCTATGTTGACAGCCTCGTGTTGTAGGAATCTACGTACCCCCAACCCCTAATTTCCCAACCCACTTCCATAACATCGGCATCCGAATAGAGGTTAGTTTCTTGCGGTATTCATCTATGCCCTGTTCTCACCCCTTGGTAGGACGAGGTATTGGTAGGCAAGACTGATCCTGTTGTACTCACCGTTGCGGCTCCAAAGGAGGTAGGCCTTCTGTTCCTCGTGGACAAGAAACTTGTTCAGCTAATGGGTTTTTTTAGATTGCTGATGTGGAAGGAGCGTGTCAGGGTCTACTGGGCCTCGAACCTTTCTAACCATGTATACGGCCTATATATGTTTATTCGCTATATAATGTCGACATTAGTAATCGGTTACGCCTCGTGGATGTATGCTGACTCCTGACGAGGAGGTATTGCTTGAGCTGGCTTGCAAACGCAGTTCAACCCGTACGCTGTTCACTTGTTTGTACAGTAATAATTGATCTTGTACCTCCAGAGTCTCGCCGCATCACCTGGAGTGTGACTAGCCTCGCACTATCATCATCCTGCAAAAGTTTCAGTATTCTGTGTCTCGGAATAGTATGCGCCACCTATTTGTGTTAAACTCCGCCCAAAATGGCTCTCAAGATTCCTTTCTGCGGCATCCGCCACGACGGGAATCTTGGCCCATGCTGTTTCACAGATTTGAGACCTAGTACTAGTAAAACGCTCCTCTCGACTGCGGACCCCTCTGATATCCCTTTCCCCGGAAACTATCAGTCTTTGTGTGTCTGCAAGGGACAGCGAAGGCCAAGGAGAGCATGGCACCTACTATTATCCCCACTACTTCCAGCGTATCGTCGATTAGCCTCTCCACATGCATTTGGATTATCGGCGTGTACGTTATCGTCGGCATCGTTGGCCCATCCATATTGATCTACCTTCTCTTACGCCGTCGTGAAAGAAGGAAAGCTGCGGTACGGTTGACTGCAACCATTCAATCTCCATTTGTTACGCAGTATTGACGCGTTAACTGTGTAGAAACTTGTAAAGCCGCGCCCGGTACAAGAGTGTCCTGTCGAAACATTCGACCCTTATAAACCGCCTGATATCTTGGAGGAGTATGTCGTTGCCAAGGTCGCACTCCCACCCAAAGCTGTACTTAGAGAATAAGAAACCCATTCCGTTGCCTGTGTGTTCAGTATTGCCACTTGGAACAATTAAAGATTTTCCTTTGCGCGCGTATGGATGAAGAGACATCTGGTTACTTGATAAAAAGTTTCATACAGCCCCGAGCTCCGATCTCAGTGATCTTTGGTGAGTATATAAAGGAGGTACACTGTAGTTGAGAGTTGGTATGATCGGATTTATCGCTGTGATGTCAGGTTTTGAGGAAAGTTATGACATGTGGCTGTGCTCCATGATCACAAGCTCTTCACCCTCGACATCAACTTCCTTGACACACTCTGCTGAAGGCCATCATGGCTGGGACAGGCTGATACACTCTTTTCTCGTCCGCATTGGATTTACTCAAGCTGTAGCCGGGTTCACGGCTGACTTGGTGGTGCTGAACCCAGTCTGGGAGCAGAATATTGTGCCAGATGCTCTGCGCGAACTGAAAGATGGTATTGCGGTGCGTGTATGGTATTGAAAAAGAACGAACAAGAAGACTTATTTGCCTAGGCATTGGGTTCTACATCAGATTCACTGGGTAGCTCTGCCTCTGAAACGACCTTGGAGCCCTCACTAGATGAGCGAAAACTTTCATACATTCAGTTCTCCAACGAAGCGCCTCCGCGAACGCAATCTACTGTGCGTTTCTCACTTGTTGCTCATTTTAACGATATTTATTACACAATGTAGATAAATAAAGAGATATCTCGTTTCCTGGCGCAAAAACGCGCACGCAACGACGCTTCGAACCGTGCCGAGTTCGTCTATACTCCTGCGCAAAAGAGAGAAAGTCTTTCAGATACACAGGGCGAAATATCTCCTTCATGTGCGCGGGTGGACGCGAAACCTATAGATCGGGATGTCCAGATGAAGTATGACATCGCGCAGAACGATGAAGGCCCGTTAAGTCGCACTATGCATGCGAATGTCACAGAAACTGGAAGTGGGTCAAAGGAAAAGGGGAAAGGAAAGGAAGTTCAGCCTAAAGAAGGGCGGTCGTTGGTAACTGCGCCTGAGGAAAAGTGGGTGGCCGCTGAGCACCCTGGACTTGATGAAAGGTTGCGGAACGTTGAGACACATCTGGCTGTTCGTTACGGTAAGGCGTACCGTCTTTTTATTTCTTTCCTTATATCTCATTTACTGTAGTTCCTTCTGCACCACGGACCCTGCTTGCACGTTTAAACTTCTTGGAGGAGCACCTCATCCGGCTTGAAAAGGATTATCCACCATGGGCTGCACTTCACTTCAATCAGCCAAACAGAGGGGCATGTTTACCTTGTTCCTTTTTTATACAACCTCCACTTATCTATTGTATCTAGTGGCCACCGCCGCCGCGACAGACACCGATCATCGTACCCCCTCATCTGCGCCCGAAGGATGAGACTCCGCCTACAGTCTCTGGGAAAGATGTGGAGGTGCTCCCAGGGGAGAAGAAACCACGAAAAAACGTGTCCAGTCTGCACCGCGCTGTCTTAGAAAAGCTTGAGGTTAAGCAGGCTATGGATGACCTTGCGTGAATGCCCAAGGTAATCTGATAATATCACGCTCTTTGCAATATATGTTCTTTACTGAATATTTCTGTCGACAAGGTCAGCAATCTGTATAGATTGCTTGAGAGGGTTCGATATCGACGTGACCTACGCCACCCTGTCGCGATCAACT